GATCCTCGGAGGGCCGAGCCTCAGCGCGGCCTGCTTGAGCTCCGAGAACCTGGTCGTGGCCAGCCGCGGACGTCGGAGTGCAGGAGGGCGCCCGGCCGCGCCCGGTCAGCGGGCGCCCCGGCAACTCGCTTAGTGCGTCGGTCGTTTCGCGGGCCGCGCCGTCGACGCGGGGGCGCCTCTCAAGACGCCCCCGAACAGATCGGGGCAGCGAGGCAGGATCGCGCGAAAGCACAGGTCCAGCAGCAGGACGGGAAAGGGGAAGAGATCACGTTGGCGATGTCCGGTACTGGGTGGAGAAGACTCATGCACAGGTAGTTGGGCTGCGCCCGCGAAGCCCACGGGCGCCCCCCCCACACCCCCCCCCTCTCGGCCTGGTCGACGCTCGGGCGAGGGGGCCCGAGCGCAGCCCGCGTCGCTCATGACGCGAGAGCGCGACGCTATTCACTGGCCTTCCTGATCTGCTTCGGGCCCCTGCGTCGCGCTCCCCTTTCTAAGAGACATGCTACAGCAGCAGCGGGCATATCATAGAGCGGCGTTATTCTTGGCCGCCCCCGTGAACACCGCCGCCTCGTCCACAATGCCGAAGCGGCGGGGGCCTCCTCCACGGCCCCAGCCGCCCATCTTCTTGCCGTCGCCCTCGCCAATCGCGCCGCCTGCGCCCGTGGCTTGCTGGGCCTCAAACTCCATGGAATAGATGTGCTCAAAAAACTGCGCCTGCCGCATGGCCCCCACCCCTACGAGGCCGGGGGGGTTGGGCTGGACACAACACTCGAGGTGTTCCAACATCCTCATCTGACGCCGTAGCCGTCCTTCGCGAAGTGATAAAAAGCGATGAACTGGCAACGCCAAAGCACGGTATTCGGCCCATCCAGCAGCCACCTGGGGATGGCGCTATCCGCCAGCAGCGCTCAGCGCCGCCTCTCGCCAAGCCAGGCGAACACGGTGCCCGTCAGCTCGAGGCGCCACTCCAAGCAGCCTGATGTCCGCGCCGCCCTCCGCGCACTTGTGCACGGCGGGGTCCGTCGAGATCCGCCTGATCAAGACCCAGCCTGCACCCTGCCGCGACGTCGCGATGTCGCACTCGGTCTTCTCCGAACCGCTGGCCGTGATCACGTCTCCGCGACCGCCGGCGCCGGCGGTCTCCACGAGCACCCGCGCGGGCCTTGGCCCAGCCAGCGCGGGCGGAACAGCGCCGTCGGCGCCGGCTGCAGCAGCAACGCCACCCAAAGGAGGCGCCGCCGCCGGAGGCACAGGCGCGGGCACGGGGACCGCGGGCACCCCAAGCGCCGCCGCCGCGACAAGAACGGCGGCAGCCGCGCCGCCTCCCGCTGCGCCAACGGCGGCCGCCGCGGGGGCTCTGCCAGGGGCAGCAGCGCCAGCGGCCGCGAAGTCGAACTGCACGTAAGCCCCGCCAGGCGGGACAAGCAGAAGCCGCCCAGCCGTGCGTTCCCTGTCGAACTACAGGCCTTCGGCCACATCGGCGAACGCGTTTCCGATGGCCCTCGTCTCCGCGACGTTCGTCTCCTGGCGGAACCGAGCCGTGCTGCGCCTGGCGAACGGGGGTGGACACCACAGCGACGATGACGGCCGAGCCGGGTGCGTAGCTCTCCTGGTGCACGGCATGGCCTGAGGATGAAATCAGCACGTCCAGGGGGGGGCGAATGACCCCCGCCAAAAGTCTCGCCAACCTGCCCCTGACCTTCCGTTGATTCTGCGGCTGGTCGCCTCGATATAGCACCCATGCCCAGGGCAGCACGCCGGCGGGCGGGGCCACTAGGCTGGCCATCTCCGTGACGAAGGAGAGAACACACGCACCGCCTTGAACAGACCTCGGTTCAGGTGGAAAGGCGCCAGCACGGCGTGGACAAGGAGCCAGGCGAGCCAGCTCAGGTCCCAACCTTCAACGGGATCCGCGGGCGGCGGCGACGGCGCCGCAGCCGGCGGTTCCGCGGGCGCCGGCGGAGGGGCCGCGGGCGCCGGCGCAGGGCAACTCAGAGGCTGCTTTGACGCCCGGCAACTAACACCCGCGCGCGAGAGGTTCGGGCAAACCGCCGCCGGGCAAACGGGGGCAGCAAGACAGGAGGGCGCCGCGGCACACGGCGGAGCTCGCGAGAACCAGGCCGCCAACACGTTGGACGCCACGCCGACCAGGACCACGGAGGCTTTGCTCACCATCCGGGATCGCCTGAACAGACGCACCAGCCTGGCTGGAAAAACGGTTTGAGCAAAGATGCGCACGGCCTCCCCGACCCCCACGCACGACAAATACTCGATGACACGCCATGGCAACATGTGCGTGTGAATATATATATATATATATATATATATATATATACATACATACATACACGCATACATACATACATACATACATATATACATACATACATATATGCATATATATATATATACATATATATACATATATGTGTGTGCTCCTTTCGTAAGCATAATGCCACCACCTCCCAAGCCTGGACGTATCGAGTCCCCTTTTTTCTGGGGCACGGCAACTTACATATGATCTTGCACATCGTTCATTTTCGATCGGAAACCATGCCATTTCAACCCAAACGGTACCGCCCCCTGTGATCCCTGTAGAATAAAACGACGCGGGCACTTGCCATCTCAAAAATAATATGTGCCAGGAATCCCCTGCATAAATTACACCATGTCACTACGCGCCCGCATGTCGGATTCACACCTACATACAGGTGTTGTACGAGCTTCAACATACAAGCATCAAGAAACCTGAGGCTTGCCGTTTTGAGTCTGGCAAATCGTCTGCCCGCACAATGTTGCTGGAATCTCTGGCAAGCCATAAGATGTTTACCGTCTCCTCCAGAATCCGCATTCTTATATGACCACGCGGCGCACTAGCTTTGATCAAGTATGCGCCATGTGCACGAATATGGATCAAATGTTCCCATGCTGGCCACACGTACGCGCCGCCACGAATGCGTGTCGAAATCCAACCAACGTCGTTAGTTTCTGAAGCATGCCAATATATATATATATATATATATATATATATATATATATATGTATATATATGTATATAGTATATATATATATATAGGTCGCAGCACCCACCATGAACCCCCCTTTTCTCTTGGAATATGCCAAGAAAAAAGGGTTGTGGGTGCGGTTGGAGTTTCGGGTGTCGCGTCGCGTTGTGGTGGTAGGATCTGGAGTACGTGTGTGTGTGTGTTGGAGACGGAGGGAGCCTGTTGAGTATCGGGCGTTGTGTTAGAGAAAGAGGCTGTTGAGTACTGGGTGTTGTGTTGGAGACGGAGGGAGTTGAGTAGAAGGTTTTTTTCAAGTTCAGCTTGGGGAGGGAGCCTGTTGAGTATCGGGTGTTGTGTTGGAGAAGGAGGCTGTTGAGTACTGGGTGTTGTGTTGGAGACGGAGGGAGCTGAGTAGAAGGTTCTTTTCAAGTTCAGCTTGGGGAGGGAGCCTGTTGAGTATCGGATGTTGCGTTGGAGAAGGAGGCTGTTGAGTACTGGGTGTTGTGTTGGAGACGGAGGGAATTGAGTAGAAGGGAGCTCAACAAGTCTTCCAAAAAAACGCCTCAAAAGCGAGCCCGAAAACCGTAGGAATCATACATAAATTCATATATAATCATGAAAAAGATGGGTTCTTGGTGCAGCTTGGGGAGGGAGCCTGTTGAGTATCGGGTGTTGTGTTGGAGAAGGAGGCTGTTGAGTACTGGGTGTGGTGGTGGAGACGGACGGAGTTGAGTTGAAGGTTCTTTTCAAGTTCAGCTTTGGGGGGGAGCCTGTTGAGTATCGGGTGTTGTGTTGGAGAAGAAGGCTGTTGAGTCATGGGTGTTGTGTTGGAGACGGAGGGAGTTGAGTAGAAGGTTCTTTTCAAGTTCAGCTTGGGGAGGGAGCCTGTTGAGTATCGGGTGTTGTGTTGGAGAAGGAGGTTGTTGAGTAATGGGTGTTGTGTTGGAGACGGAGGGAGTTGAGTAGAAGGTTCTTTTCAAGTTCAGCTTGGGAAGGGAGCCTGTTGAGTATCGGGTGTTGTGTTGGACAAGGAGGCTGTTGAGTAATGGGTGTTGTGTTGGAGACGGAGGGAGTTGAGTAGAAGGGAGCACAAAAACTCTTCCAAAAAAGAGCCTCGAAAGTGAGTCCGAAAATCGTTGGAATCATAAATAAAATCATAGATAATCATAAGAAAGGGGGGCTCTTGGTGGGTGCACAGGGCTATATACATATATCTACATAAATATAAACTTCCAGAACCTATGAAGACCCCGTGCCTGTGAACAAGAAGTTTGCGAGATGGCTTGAATGTCTGCGCGCGTGCACTTCCCCACCATGCCCCTCATCAGCGCCATCGCATCACCACCGTTATCGTCGTCGTCAATCGCCGCCAATGCCCCCATCATCGGTCAATCACGTGCATCACCAACACATGGACATCATCATCGCCGTCGTCGCTACCAGCATCGGCGCCGTCAATGGCACTGTCGTCGCCATCGTCATCATCGCCACTACCATCGCTACTATCATCATGTTTGCCAACGTTGTCGACACCAGCATGACACCGCGCCCGACCGAGTCACCGACTCGCACTGGGAGTGCCCGCGCGCCAGCGCGTCCTCTGAGACGTGCTGGAATGTTCACATCGGCTAGCGCCATCGCAACCGCATAAACTGAGCTTGCGCGCGCCAGCGCGGCCGCGAAGATGCGCCAGCAAGCGCCGAGAACATCCGCAATTGTGGCTGCATGGGTTTTGCAAACACAATTTGCGGGTGGAGGTGGGATCCTTCGGCGAGGAGTAGACTTGGCAAGCCAATGCGGGCAAAGAAAGACATCCCACGGACTGCAGCAGCAAACCACAGTTTGAGGGCCACACTGCCGAGCAACTGGTTTTGACCATGTGGAGTGCTGCGGTCATGATATGTTCGCGGCGTTGCAGTGTTTGCCACGACGCCGGATATACGAGGAGCCTCGTCTCCGCCTCCGCGGCCGCCTTCGGGCTCCGCCTGTGCTCCTTCAGCACCCTCACCGACAGAGCCGCCGACCCACGCCTGCCAGGGCTTACAAGGCGCGTGTCAGAGTTGGCTATCTGGAAGCCGCTTGGCTGGGGCCAGGGAAGATGTGACGAACCATCAACACACACCCATACCCATTGAGGGGTCAGAGAGGGCAATGGGTGCGTGTTGTCGGATGGGTGTCCCCGCTCGAACGGGAGCGTTCCCCAGGGTCCGACAACCCGCACCCGTACCCATAGCCAGTCCTCCTCCCAACGACCCCCCTATGGGTATGGGTGTGTGTTGCTCGTTCGTCAAGATGGGGCCGCATCAGCGATGCGTCGGCGATGCGGCGCAACCCGCCGACCAACTAACCCTGCTCCATTACAGCGATCTGGCTGTCCCCCTCCACCTGCAGGTCCCAAATTCCGCTTGAGGGGAGGGAGGGGGCGACGAGCTCGCCAACGCACCTCCTGCGCCTGGGACGAGGCCCCAGCAGGGCCCACCAGGCCCCGAAGCCCCCCAGGCCCAGGATGGCCCATCATGGCTCCGACGTGACCCCGTGTGGCCTCCGAGACCAAGGGCAACACAAAGGCATCCACCATGGCTCCAGTCCGCCTCAGGATGGCTCCGCAACGGCCCCGAAGCCGCCCGAGTGGCGCTGGAGGCGCCCGCATTGGGAGCCTCGGGTGCCCTGTCTCTGGCCCTGCGCCCGCAGCACCCACGCGGGAGGGCGGCCGCCCACGCCAGGGTAACGCCCCGATGCCCAGGACCTCCTGCGCTCCTCTTGACACCCTTCCCTCTCCTGCTCTCCTGCTCCTTCTCATCGTCCTCCTCCTCCCCCCTTCCTCCTCCTCTGCCTCCTCCTCCTCCTCCTCCTCCTCCTCCTCCTCCTCCTCATCCTCCTCCTCCTCCTCCTCCTCCTCCTCCTCCTCCTCCTCCTGGTCGTCCTGCTCGCCTCCTCCTCGTCCTCCTCCTCCTCCTCGTCCTCTCCTCCCCATCTTTCTCCTCCTCCTCCTCCTCCTCCTCCTCCTCCTCCTCCTCCTCCTCCTCCTCCTCCGCATCCAAGGTGGGGGGCCGCGGCGATCGCCCCCCCAACCCGAAAAGACATCCCAAAGACGTCCTCCTGAATCCCTCGTCCTCCTCCTCCTCCTCCTCCTTTGCATCATCATCATCATCATCATCATCATCATCATCATCATCATCATCATCATCATCATCATCATCAGCATCATCATCATCATCATCATCAGCATCATCATCATCATCGTCATCGTCGTCATCATCATCATCACCACCACCATCATCATCATCATCATCACCATCAGCATCATCATCAGCAGCATCAGTATCAGCATCATCATCAGCATCATCATCATCGTCGTCGGGGTCATCATCATCATCATCATCAGGATCACCAGCATCCGCAGCAGCAGCATCAGCATCAGCATCGCCATCAGCATCATCCTCATCACCACCACCATCATCATCATCATCACCACCATCGTCATCATCATCATCATCATCAGCATCATCACCATCGTCATCGTCATCACCATCATCATCATCACCATCGTCATCAGCATCAGCATCACCATCGTCCTCATCATCAGCATCATCGGCATCAGCAGCATCATCATCGGCATCATCATCGTCGACGTCGTCATCGTCGTCATAGTCATCGTCATCGTCGTCATCATCAGCATGATCAGCAACTCGTCGTCATCAGTATCACTATGACCATGACCATCACCATCATCATCAGCAGTAGCATCGCCAGTCTCATCATAACCAGCATCATCACAATCGCCATCACCATCAGCATCGCCATCATCATCAGCAGCAGCATCATCATCAACATCATCATCACCAACATCATCAGCATCATCAGCAACATCAGCAGCATCATCACCATCATGGTCATCATCATCATCATCATCATCATCATCAGCATCATCGGCATCGTCATCACCAGCAGCATCATGAGTATGTTCATCACCATCATGATCATCATGATCAGCAGCAGCATCGTCAGCATCATCACCATAGTCTTCGGCATCGTCACCATTATCAGCAGCATCATCAACATCAGCATCGTCATCAGCAGCGTTATCGTCATCATCATCACCACCCACTCTGTAAGTATTATCATCATGATCAGCATCATCATGAGCATGATGATGATCATCAGCATGAGCATCAACACCATCAGCATCATCCTCATGATCAGGATCATCAGGATCATCAGGATCAGCATCAGCATCATCCTCATCAGCAGCAGCATCATTATCAACATCCTCGTCACCATCAGAATATTGATATTCGTTATCCTCTTCCACTTGGTCCGAGTTACCCTCTCTGGGCACCTGGACCTGGGAGTCGGCGGAACTGCGCGAGCCTCGGGCCGAGGGGCGCGTGCAGAGGATACGCGAGAGGACACGAGCCTCTCTCGAGGGCAAGGCGTGCTCCAGACACGAAGATGGGATGATTCCCGATGGATCGAAGTATTAAGGACCGTTACGATAATTTAGTCGATGAAATTTCAGAACCATGGTCTGGGTTATGGAAATGGCCAAAACGGAAGATTTGCAGTCGGAACGACGCACACGACGCAGTATTAAGATTCATAATCAGAATTCATACGTTCGGATGGCACGAGGTGGCCCTTGATTCTGAAGAGGCGGGGCTTCCAATCTGACACGACTGTCCAAACATCAAAACACTGTGGGCTGGGGGTCGCCCTGCCGCCTTTGACAAGCGTTTCCTGGGCTTCTCCGTTGCATCGTTCTACGTGCAGTCAATGCTCAACGCTGTCTTGGCCGGGCTCTGGGGACCCTGCTCAGGCGGCTCTGGATCCAACCTTGGGCCCCAAGAAGATCCCCAAACAACCGCAAGCCGGGCCTGATCTGGAACACGTCCGGACGGCGCGCGGGCCAAACACGGGCATGCTCGCGTTCGGGTGATCTGGAGGCCCTTTTGGGCCATTGTGGATCCCATCTTGAATCATCCTGGTCTCGTTGAGGCCTAGGATGGGGCCGCCATGGGGTCCTTTCGCGGCCGTCTTCGGACAGCACGAGGCCGCCCTCTGCCAACGGTTGGCCTCCTGCGGGGCCGTCTTGGACTCTTTCCGGCATGCTCTTGACCAGTCTTGGGGCCGCCGCCTTCGGCTCTGCGGGCGAGAACTACCGTGAGCGGGCGGTGAACGCGAAGCATCTCGTATAAGTCAGTAGCGCCAGCGTGTACCCGCCTGCCACGGCTGCCACGCTGGCCTCGAAGCCGTCCGTTCCCAGACTTGGCGCGCCATCTTCCAGCAGCGACGAGAAGAGCTTGCTCTGCACCAGCTTGGTGGCCTCCTGCGACATCGCCTGGTCCATCATGAGGCACAGCAGCGGCGTGCGCGCGAAACCCGCGTCGCCTGCGTCGAGCTTCAGCACCTGCTGGTACGCATCCACCGCCTGGCGCGAGTGGCCGCTCTCCGCGCGGACGCCCCCCAGCTCGCGCCAGAGCTGCCTCTTCTCCGCCGCGGCGGCGGCGTCGTCGCCGAGGCGGGCCAGCTTGCGCTCGATGATCTTCGCCCGCAGCCGCTGGCGCGTGGCCTCCTTCGCCTCCTCGCCGCCGTGCTTGGGGCCAGTCCGCTTCGTCTCCTCGGCGGCGGGGGCGGGGCGCCCGCCGGCGAAGGCGGGGGGCGTGCTTAAGACCTTCCGAGAACCAGGCCTGCTCTCAAGTCGGGCCTGTCCCCCTACAGGAAGATGTTCGACGAGAAATAAGACTTGCCCCCAAAGATAGTCCAATATGTTTGGGGGTATTTAAGATTTGTTCGACGAAGATCCCCCTGTATAGGGGAGCACGCCCAACATCCCTGACCTTCCAGGAGGGCTAAAACATAGCACCCGACTGAAAAACATATCCCAGAGCTATTCTACGTCTTGGTTTCAGGCTGTTTCGCTAAGTTTTTTTAGGTTTTTAGGCCTCCAGTGCTAAAACATAGCTCTCTGGAAGATCAGGGATAAGCCTGCTTCCTGGGAGGCCCCCGGGGGCGCGCGCCCTCCGGGGGGGCTCGCGCGCCGGCAGAGGGCCAGCAGAACGGCTGCCCGCGGCGAGAGCCGACCCTGGCGGCAAGTCGGGCCTGTCCCCCTACAGGGGGGCTTTCGACGAAAAATAAAAAAAATACCCCAAAAAATAACCAAAACATAGTCCAATAATAGTCCATGGGGACTATTTGGGGAGTATTGTTTGACCAAAAAATTGTCCAAAAGTAGTCTGGGACTATGTTTGGAATATTTTTTTATGATTTTGCCCGTATTTTAGGGTATTCCTTATTTTTCGTCGAAAATCCCCCTGTGGGGGGACACGCCCGACATAACCCTGGCGCTCGGGTCGAGAGCTCCGGGGCCGGCGCCTCGGGGCAGGTGGCCTCGACGTCGGAGGTGCCCCCCTCCCCCCCCCCCGAGCTCCCCGGCAGGCGGGCGCAGGACGCCCCGACCCCGCTCTCTTCCCTCTCGGCGCGACAGGGGGCGGGCCCAGAGGGAATCGGAGGAGGGAGGAGGACGTAAATGGAGGAGGAGGAGGAGGAGGAGGAGGAGGAGGGAGGAGGAAAAGGCGGAGGAGGAGGAGGAGGAGGAGGAGAAGGAGGAGGAGGAGGAGGAGGAGGAGGAGTAGGGAGGAGTAGGGAGGAGGAGGAGGAGGAGGAGGAGGAGGAGGAGGAGGAGGAGGAGGAGGGGAGGAGGAGGAGGAGGAGTAGGGAGGAGGGAGGAGGAGGAAGAGGAGGAGGAGGAGGAGGAGGAGGAGGAGGAGGAGAAGAGGAGGAGGAGGAGAGGAGGAGAGGGAGGAGTAGGGAGGAGGAGGATGAGGAGTAGGGAGGAGAGGAGGAGGAGGAGGAGGAGGAGGAGGAGGAGGAGGAGGAGGAGGAGGAGGAGGAGGAGGAGGAGGAGGAGGAGGAGGAGGAGGAGGGGGAGGGGGAGGGGGAGGGGAAGGGGGAGGAGGGGCCTTCCCCCAGGGCCAGCGGCTCGTCCCGAGCTGCTAGCCGAGGCGCCCAGGGCTGGCAGGGGGGGGGGGGGGGGAGGGGGCCGCGGAGCCCGAGGACGGCCCAAGGGCCCCCAGGGCCCGCTCCCTCCAGCAGCGCGTGGGCCACGGGCGCTCGCGCGCAGCTCCTGGGCAGCGCAGCTCCTGGGCTCGCGCGCAGCTCCTGGAGCCTCAGCTCACCTGCGTTCGAAGGGTAGGAATCGCTCCAACACGTCATCGTGCCTCCGATGGCGAAGTCCAAAAAGAAAGCTGGAGAGCGCCTCCTGGGCTCCTGCGCGCAGCTCCGAGGGCAACGCCTCCTGGGCTCCTGCGCGCAGCCCCGAGGGAGCTCCCGGATCCCGGCCGGGCCCCGCGCTCCCTGCATATGGCGGCGAGCTGCCAGGGCGCCCAGGGCCCGGGCCCTCTGCTCTCCTGCAAACCATCGCACCCCCCTGCGACGAGCTCCGGTGACAGTGAAATGTACCAGGCAATCCAGGAGCCACGCAAGGATGAAGGGGCCCAAGGGCACACAAGTAAATACACACAAATAAAACATAATTCCCCATATTTTCCTATATGTTCTGGGTTTCTGTTTTCCCCCCACTTCCCATATTTGCCTATATTTTCTGGGGGATCGACGGTTCATTGTGTCTGTGTGTTTCTTTTCCTCCTGAAAGGACCGACGAGCAATGGTCGAGCCCCCACACGCGAAACCCTGCTTTGCTGCAGAGCGACGGCGCGAGCAGAGCGCGCGCGTGGCATGGACCCCGGCCTCCTGCTTGTGCGCGTGCCTCGCCTCCTGCCCGGGCCCCCGAGGCCTAAGCGTAAGTCGGGCCTGTCCCCTACAGGGAGGGGGATTTTCGACGAAAAATAAAAAATACCCCCAAAATAATAATAAAAAACAAACAAATCCGAAAATAGTCTGGGGACTATGCTTTGCATATCTTTTGACCTTTCTGGGGCATTTTGGGCGGACGGGCCCGACTTAAGCCTCACCCCTGTCCTGCGCGACTCTGTTTGTTTTGTGCTGTCCCCCTCCCCTGCCCGCAGCGCGTTGCACCCAGACGCGACGGATGACTCCTCCATGGGCCGACCGCGCCAGACACACCACAAAAGGGCAGTGCACCCCGCACGGCGCGGCGCCTCGAAAAAGCGGGGCGGCCCGCCGCCGCGGCCGCCGGCCGCCGTGGGGATCGCAAGGTCTCCTGCTTGTGCACGTGCCTCGCCTCCTCGCGCGCCTGCCTCCGGCTGCCCGCCGGCCCCTCCGCCGCGGCGGGCGGGCCGGCCCCGCGCCCTCCCACCGGCCGGCCGCGCCCGCCGCCGCGGGCCGCCGGGGCAGGGCCGCCGCCCGCGCCCCTGGCCCGCTTGTTGGCCTGGCGCGGGGGAGCGCCGAGCCGCGGGCGCGCGAGGGAGGCGCGGGGTGCCTCGCGGGGGAGGGCGTGCGGCCGGGGCCGAGGGTGCAGGAGCAAGGCCGGCTCGGGGAGGGCAGCCGGGTGTTCGTCGTGCTCGTCGGACGCTGCTGCGGCTCGCCTCTGGCCCCCGGGCGCCCTCCCCCCCCCACCCCGCCGCCTGCTTGTGCTGCCAGTGCGTGCGCCGAGCTATCCTGAACTGGACCACCTGGTCCCACCTCTTACCAGCCTCGAACGTATCCCTATCCCCAAGATTGGCACGCCAAAAGGCGATGACAATCTTAGGGATCCGCCCTCAAAAAATAAGGGAATCCCTGAGATTGGCATCGTGATGAGGAGGTGCCCAGCACAGGGATAGGGACATGTTCCAGGCTGGTAAACCTCGGCGGCTCCAGGTGGCGCAACGGTCCGCGCATCCCCGGGCCTCTTGGCGGATCGACCGGCTCGAGCCCAACCTCCGACGATGGCATTTCTGTCAGCCCAGAGCTTCCCTCGATGTCGGCATATCCCACGCCAGGGGCCGCGTTCGAGCCCCGAGGCCCTCCGCAGTGGGTCGGGGACGACAGGGTCCCCGAGGGCAGCGGTCGGGGCCTCTTGGGGCTGATCCCGGCCTCCGTAGGGCCACTGTGAGACAGGCCCCATACAGTCGGGGCGTTGACCTAAGGAACCCTAAATAAGGAACGAGGTCCCTTTTCTCCATAAATTAACCTTCGATTTCCTGTCGAAAACATAAGGAAAGCCTGAGGCAAGCTGTGAAACACTTAAGGAACGCGGAGCCCCCTCCCCAACGAAAAGGGTTCCTTCTTCAGGGCCCCGACTGTAGGAGCCCTCGAGCGAAGAGGCTCGGGACGGCGAGCTGCCCCCCCCCTCCCCCTGCGGGGACCGCAGGAGAGCCTCCAGGAGGGGGGGGGGGGCGGGGGGGGAGGGGGCGTGCGGGCCTGCCGGCAGGGCTCGGCTGCCCGCAAGAGTGGCCCATGGGCAGGAGCGGCCTGTGGCGCGCGGGATGACAAGGGCCGCGGTGGGGGGGGGGGGGGCAGTCCAAGCCGCAAGCGCGCACGCCGCTGCTGGGGGGCCCTTGTGGGCTCGCACAGAGAAACGGCTTGGAGGTTGCGAGCGTGGCGGGCCACGGAGGGCGACAGCGCCCGGGGTGGACCCTCAGACATCCGACGAGATGAGTTTATCAATCCGTGGTAAAACGACGCGAAGATCGGGACAAAATCGGATCGGGAAAATTCGAAATCTCTGAGAATCGGCGGGTTTGGAGGATGTGTTGGGCGCCGCGGCCGCTCCAGAGCGTTCCGGAACGCTCTGAGAGCGCTCCGGAACGCTCTGGAGCGATTTATTTCCGATCCTAGCCCTGTTTTACGTGGGCCTCGGTCGGAGGCATCGACCCCTCATCTTCCGAGGGGCAGCCCTGCGTCCGGGTCCCAGGGGCCGCCCACGCGGCCCCCTGGAGGCCCTGGAGTGCGAGACCGACGAGGGACAGCGGAACCGAAAGCCTCGATCTGGAGGAGCTCCGGGCCCCCGTCACGCTGCACCCTCCGGAGCAGACCCCTGGGCCTCTCCAGGGATCCCTGTGCGGGAGGAGGGGGCGCGACAGCCCGGCAGGCGTCCCCGAGGTCAGCTCTTGAGGAGCGCGGGGAACAGATCAGGGCATGCGCCAAGCTCGCGCTCTACGAGCGCACGCCATGACGCGCGCATCGACCCCGGCAGGGATCTCGAGGAGAAGCCAGCAATGGCGACAAGGGGCTTCCCGGAGAGCTAGAAAAATGACCAGAAACAACAGACCTCCCATCCTCGAGCCTCGACGCTCGAGGCAAGGGCCCCCTTGCCCAAGTTCAGCGCTGAGCCGGGGGCGGCGCGCTACTGACGCCCAGCCGCTCCCGCTCCCTCGCGGGCGGCATCCGCCACCACCGTCGCCGTCGGCGTCGTCGTTCGCGCTGCTGCGTTCAATTCGTCCGTCGTCGCCGCCGCCGTGTCGTTTGTAATCCCCGCCGTCGTTCGTCTTCGTCGCCGTCGTGTCGTTTGTAATCCCCGCCGTCGTTCGTCTTCGTCGCCGCCGCCGTCGGCGGCAGGCTCGTTCTCCTTCTCTCCCCGCAGACATCCGCACACTTCGGCGCTTGCCTCGTATCTCGCGCGCGTGCCGTGCGCAGCACAAGCAGGCGCAAACGGAGCGCGAGGTAGAGACGACGACGACGCGAATGCAGAAACACGGTGGCAGCCTCCTTTCTGGGACCCCGTGCCCCTTCGCGAGCGCGCGCGAGGCCGACTTAGAATCTCAGGAGCTCGACCCTCGAACCTCGCTCCTTTGGGTTGCTTCCCCCCCCCTGGCGGCCCTGACCGCTTTGCCGCCGCCCCCGGAGCGGCCCCTCTTGCCGCCCATCGCGGCCCCCAGCCCGCTGGGCGTCCGAGAGAAGCGGCTGCAGCGGGGGAGGAGGGAGGAGTGGGGGGGGAGGGAGAAAGGAGAAGATGGAGGCGGCAGGGGCGAGCAAAGAATGCGTTCGGCGTTTCCTGGACATTCCGAAACAAAAAAGTTATGGGCAATCCCTGTAGATGTCGGAGGGCTTGTGTCGGATAGTGTCGTGAGCTCGAGCACTTCTGCCGATTATCGGTGGCCCTGATCTCGGAAGTTGCCAACGGCCGATCCTGGCAGCCCTGAACCCAAACATGTTGCGTCTCACAGCTGCTTCTTCCGCAGCCTTTCGCTGACCTTCCGATGGCGGACCGGTCGCCACTATGCTTCTGCCAGGCGTCCGCCGGCCCCCCCTCCACCCGCCTCCGCGCGAAGGTGGGGCCTTTTTACTGGAACGCCCTGACATGATGTCTGGCCGCTTCGAACAAAGGAAGAGGAGGAGGAGGAGGAGGAGGAGGAGGAGGAGGAGGAGGAAGAGGAGGAGGAGGAGGAAGAGGGGGAGGATTGCCACATGGCGGGGGGAGGGAGGACGAGGTTGCAGAGAAACAGGCGCTGAGCGCTTCTGGGCGGTTTCCAGTGCTAGCCGCCCGTCGGGATTACCAAAGGAGGAGGAGGAGGAGGAGGAGGAGGAGGAGGAGGAGGAGGAGGAGGGGGACGGGGAAGAAGCATACCCGTGGTGGCTGCGCGGCTGGCCATGTCTCGCGCGTTGGTGAAAGGCCCGCTCCTCACGTTGCGGCTTGGCCACTGCGCCTCAGAGAGCCGTGACCGTGCGGAACTCGTGACGCATGGGGCTCGTGTTCGTTGTGGCGGTAACCTCACCGACGGAATGTAGGCGGAGGAGGAGGAGGACTGCAGATGCAGGTGGCGATGGTGAAAAACGTGGCGGCAATGGTAACGTGGGAGCTAGTAAGAAGGTGTCGCGTGCACGCTTGGGCCATACTGGCAGCGGGCGCGCACGCATGCTCCTGGTCGAGCCGTGGCCACCAGGCAATGGAGAGCGCCCCCCCGCAACACTCAGGCCACAAACTACCACCCGCAATGAGGCGCCAGAGCATTCACCGCGATGCATCGGCTGCGGACGTTCGGCACAGCTCACCCGTGACTCAGGAGCCTCAGCCCGAACGGAAAATCGCGAACCCTGGAGAGCAACGCATGCTCGTCTATGGCCAGCGCATGCGCGTGATGCGCTGCCTGTGGCCACAGTCGCTTGAACGTAGCGGCACCCCGAAGCAGGGAGAGCTCAGAGACGGTCTCCCCGCTCTGGCTCCCGCTCACTGGCCGGTGGCGTGTAGCAGCCAAGAGCAGGGCACTGCCCGTGGGTGCCCGACAAAGGTCGTGCCTGGCGTGCGCTCACGCCGCGACATTGGTCGTGCCGTCCCGCCAGGTTCGCCCACTGGCTCTGCATCCTGCAAACCGCCAGCGTAGCCGCTCGCCTTCAGCACTCTTTGGTGAGTAAGTGCCAGCGGGCGTAGCTGGCCGCGGCGGCGCTTGGATTGCAGCGCGGCTGGAGAACACGCGCCCGCCTTGCTTCGCAAGCGCGCAGACGCGGTTTGCTCTGTTGTTTGCGGCAGTGTGTTTCTAGTTGCTGGTCATTTCCAATCGCGTCTGCTGACTGGTCGTCGTGCTGGTCTGGTGAGCGGATGCTGCCTGGATGCAGCCAACAGCGGCGCAGTGTCGCAGGTGCCTACCTCGGTCGTTCGTAGATCTCCCATCGCTGCTGGTCTTCGAAGAGCCTGGGGGTGGGCGGCCACTGTCGCGTCCGACGTCGCGAGCCGTTTTCCGGCAGCACATCGTGGCCAGAGCGCCGGGCCACCGTGATGAATACCGACTGGCTTGTAAGGAGGCATAGGCAGTAGTATGGCGCTGACCTCTGCGGCGCCGCGCTGCCGCGCCGCGCTGCCGCGCTGGCGCCCCGTAGCGCACGCGGTGCTGAAGTGCCACGGCGGGCATAATGTCGGGTGCTTGGCGAGTTGTGGCCGCCAGGGATTCGCGACGAAGACGTTCATGCTGTTCTCAGAGTTGCGGCAGCCTACTGCGAGATGAGAGAGCCCTCGCGGTCGACAGGGCTGGCCGTCTGGCTGGCTGCGGCAAGCTGGTAATGAGGTGTTGCCCTCCGCTGCTCACAGAACTGTGCAGGCATCTTGGGACTCGGGCCCGCACATGGAAGAAAGCCAGCATGACGCTTGAGACAACCGCTGCGGCGCTGTGACCCTGAGTCGGTGCTGAGGGAGGTGAAACAAGAACATTAAGCAACAATTTGTCAATCTCGGTGCGCACCGTTCTCACCAGGAAATAAGCCAGCACTACTGCGCACAACCCGGATCCGAGAACTGGGCCAGTCATGCGGCCCAACGCAAGAGACTGCGTTCCGCGGCGAGTAATGGGCGGTTGTGAGGCAACCTGGGAGTCGTGGCACTTATGTGGGCAGGCGACCTGCACATAGCCATCAGTTGCTGTTGCCCTTGCAGCCGG